GAAGTATATCTCTAATAGGATGCAATGTAACAGAAGTTCCCATATGTGTTAATATAATAAGCTCTACAAGATACATTATTGAATTTATAACGTGAGTTACAAAAAGGTATGCATGAGATGCATCATTTTGTATTAAATTTAAAAATAACCAAAATACTATTTATTTTCAGTTTTTTTTTTGTATTTAGTACATGTACATAATGCTATAGTAAAACATTTGGAAGTATCAACTCCAAATTGATAAGATGAAGGGAGAATTAGGGTAATGAGTGATGAAAGAATCAGAATTGGGAGTGGTAGTAAAAGTAGATTTTTGTCTACCTAGTATGTTGTATCACTTTTAATAATTTCAAATGTTCATCAATTCTTTCTAATATTAAACCAATAAAAAGTCATAAAAGCCATCATCAAGGTTTATCCATATCCTACTCTATTGTCCTCATGAAAAAGGAGAGAAAGGGGAAAATGACCACCCTTTTTATAAGGTCTTGTCCAACCTTCCTAAGTGTTTCCCCCACCTCTGGAATCATTAGCTTTTAGTTCACACTCCGCTTAGGATCGCAGTGTGATTTTATTATAGATTTTATTGATTTTATTAGAGACATGTGTAGTTTTGTACTCTTCAGTAGATTATAAACTAATGTCTCATCACTTTTTATATAATCTTAAAACCTAATAAATTAATCACTTATGGTAATACTTCAAAAAGTCTTTTTGGATTTTCTAAAACAATATCAGAGAATTCAAATAAATTGCACAAGATGGGAATTGCCAAATTATTTTAAGATATTAATTTCCATGAAATGGCATTTTAAAAGTGGTAATTGGTTCACTGTTAACCCCCATTCAATCTAGGCAGTTACATTGTTTTCTGACCACCTCCGTTTCCTTCATAGGAAACGTGAAGTGAATGGGGCTGTGTTGTGTGACTACTGAGGAGCTAAGTTGGTGCAAAGTGGTCGTTGTTGATGGTTTCAGTCCACTAGGGGGCACTCGAGGAGTTCCAGAAATGAAGACTTTTTCTGATGTTCTCAGAGGATGGAACAGGATACAAGAGGACACGCGAGTCAGTCAAATCACAGATAACAGGCAGCTGGTGCGGGGTGGTGGGTGATGTGTGTGTAAAGTTCATCTTAGGTTTTCAGCTCTGACATTCTACATAAAACCTCAGAAAGCTGGAGTTCATAGGTCTATGAATCCGTTGTGAAGATGATTCTATAAGCAGAGGTAAGGGAATTAGAATTTTAATGGGCATTGGGAGCATGGATGCTCATTAGAAAAAATCTTCATTACATGTTTTCAGTTTCTAAATTCTTATGATTAAAATTCATGAAATTCACTGACCTGGAAATTATTCTAAATACCCCTGATATCTGATCTTTTCTTATATCTTCTCTGAGACTAGAAGGAAGAGGAATAAACAGAAGAGAAGAAAATAGGAATAAAATAAGGATCAAGAACAGAAAGAGAATAGGGAGAGGACAATATTTAATTTGACCAGCAATGTGTGACCTGGTCAGAGCAGTTGTGAGAGCCTGCAGGGTGTGTGGGGAAAGGTCTGAACAGAGGAAGGGGAGAGGTAGAAATTAAATCAGAGTGGATATCATACACACATCCTATTTTTCCTCCAACCAACCAATCTCTAGTTGGAAACATTTTCTAATCTCCTAATTTCAAGAAACTATTTACTTCTAAATTCGCAATGCATGTTATCAAATAGTTTTCATTTATCAGAATTTTCATATATTTGAATTCTCTAATTTTCTGTCAAACTGTGTAATTTGGGAAATGGGGTCTCTCTTCCCGTGACTCTTTAAAGCACTACTTAACACAGCTGAGACACAGATTCTTCTGAGAGGTACCATCTCCCTTCCTCACATATTATCCGTAAACTACTCTTCCATAAAGTGCTTTTAAAAAACCCTATATCTTCACACATTAGAAATAGTGCCTCTTCCTCTCGTAAGAGATTGCTGTGCAGTCTCACTGGGCCACTGTGAGGGTGGTTTCCTGTTCAGATGAATTTTTAAAACTTATGTTTTTAAACTTAAAAACTTTTAAATAAAAGACTGATCATGAACATTGCAATAAGGCATGTTGAGGAGTTATCTGAATCCTTCAAAAAGTTTAGAAACTCGGCCAGGCGCGGTGGCTCACGCCTGTAATCCCAGAACTTTGGGAGGCCGAGGCGAGCAGATCACAAGGTCGGGAGATCGAGACCATCCTGGCTAACTCGGTGAAACTCCGTCTCTACGAAAATTATAAAAAATTAACCGGGCATGGTGGCGAGTGCCTGTAGTCCCAGCTACTCACGAGGCTGAGGCAGGAGAACGGCGTGAACCCGGGAGGTGGAGCTTGCAGTGAGCCGAGATCTCGCCACTGCACTCCAGCCTGGGGGACAGCAAGACTCCGTCTCAAAACAAACAAACAAACAAAAAGTTTAGAAACTCTAGTTTTGAAAAGTAATACATTACAATTTGAATATCTGCAGATTTCAAAATAGAAATTAAATGTAAGGGTAGCAGCTTGATGGAAAGGAATATTATTTTCCTACGAAGTTTTGAATGACCCAGTTATCGACTTAGAGGCTAATTTTCAAATTAATTTTTCTTATAATTGAAGATACAATCATAAAATGCAAAAACAAACATAGTGAATCATATACATATCAGGAAGCCACTTGGTTACTTTTTAAAAAAATATTTATTTTTTAAGAGAAGGGGTCTTGCTCCGTTGCCCAAACTCAAGTGCAGTGACAAAATTATAGTTTGCTTTAGCCCTGAACTCCTGGGCTCAAGTGATCCTCCTGTCTAGGTCTCCCAAAGTGCTGAGATCACAGAAGACCCTGTCTCTGCTTCTGACGGAGCCCAAGGATTGGTTAGGGTAACCTCAGACCCACTAGATTGCATGTGGGCGTGACAATGGTCTTGGAGTTCCTTGATGCAGGATAATTTCTGACTACTCCCGTGCTCTATATTGTACACAATCAGTCCTCAGTAAATATTTGCTCTGTTAAATAGTATAAAAGAATTTTAGACTTATAAAAGCACTTAGAAACCTTTTAGTTCAACTTCATTTTACAAACACAAAAACTATATCCAAAATGCCAGTATGAAACCATTAGATAGTAAATGATCTAGGAGTAGAAAGAAACTGGATTTCCTCACTTCCTCCTTAGCATTCTTACTCTTGCCTATTCCTGCAGGCACATATTGTTGAACAAAGAAAAACTATCTAGCGGCAGCCCTACCAGGCTGACCTATGCATTTTGGTTCCCAGAAAGCCTTGGTTCAATCACTTTGACCATGAGAACGGAGAGTTCCAGTTCGTGTAAACATTTACCACTTTGGGCAAGAAAGTTACTCAGGCTGAGCCACTGTTATTCTACGAGGAAATCAGTCCATGACTCACTGGCTGCTGTAGGAGTGAGCCAAACGTGATGGTGCCACCCTCAACCCCCAGAGGCGTTTCCAAGGACTTTCCTAAAAATAGTAGGATATATTCATTATGCTGGGTGGATATTTCTCAAAGGAGGGATGTGGACATAGTGAGCATTACTCTACATTGTCAAAAAATAATAATTAGAATAGAGAAGCTAAGGGTAACGCGTCCTCATGTAGCTGACAGTTCATGAAGGTGTTAGAAAATCTTTTCTGGGCCACCACATTGACAATGAGTTGGGTAATATTCAATGAAATAATCATAGGGTTGGGGATTTTGTCCAGGGTATGGCTATACCTAAGGCATAGTTAATATGCCGAATCCATATGAGTGGTCATATTTAGACCATTATGTTCAGTTCTTAATGCTATACTCAAAAGGCCAAATATTGACCTAAATTATCCATTACCAAAAGGATAGAAATTCATCCAATAAAGGATTTGAGAATTATATTGTATAAGGAATGAATGAGAAAAGGGAAAATCCTTAGAACAGAGAAATTTTACATATGTAAAAACACACATTTTATGTATACATATCTATATTTATATATTTTAGTTGATATTTTTCATCATAACTGTCCTTACATACTTAAGGGTGTAAGATGTGAATAAGAAATTATATTGAGTCTCTATAATTCCAGGGGCCTAGTGAGTACAAGTCACAGGAAAGGTGCTTTCCTTCTGGAAAGGAGATAGTATTAGTTTCTGAGGAAACTTTCCCCATGTCACTTATTTAGCTTTGCACTATCCTTCCTAGTGGACACAGGCAATATTTTGGCTTCCATAGATTTATTTTTATAGAAGTAATCAGAACACATCAAAAATTAAAGTAGATGAGAAATTTTTTTTTTTGGCAAGGAGAGATAAACCCAGAAACGTACAAGACTGAAGGACTTTATCAATATCTTAGCAAGAATGTTGTAGTGGAGTTTCGGCGAAAACGGCAGATATGGAATCAGAGCTAGAAATGGCTAAGGCAAGAGCAGTCCATGCCAGATGAGTTGGCTTATATTTTAGAGGCAAGTTCCACTGAAGATATGAGTCAGTCATTGTATTTAAGGACATGTCATATTGATATCATTCATTTTGATATCAGAAAATAAAAGCACCTTAATAAGAAATTTACATGTGGCTTCATTTTTGGAACCTGCAGCCTGATGTTTTCTGAGAATTTCTCCTTGTTCTTTCTATGCTTTGCAGAATACAAGCCACATAGCAATAGGAAAAGACTTATTAAAACATGCCAGATTTCTCCTTGCAAACCAGCCCAATCTATGGGTCAAATTGTTCTTATTGTTGGAGTATTAATAACTAATGGAACTTGTCCCCCTTCTCCTTTATCATTGTACTTTAATTCTTTACCTTTTATTAAGGCCATCTTTACCAAAGAAAGATTCCACATTTTGACTGTTGGTACTGTTAAGTCTCTGGGAATAGAAGGTCATGGGGAAGACCAGTCTTGGAGAAGCAGAACCTGAGATAATATGCACTTGAAATATTGAGCGGTCCTCTCTCTTACTCTTATCTTTGGCTTACATATTCCTTTAAGAAAGAGTTTTTCTCCATAACAAGCAAATTGTGATGATAGATTTGACTGCAAGGGAATATATTACTTTTCTTTATCCAGGAGAGTGAATCATGGTGCTTTCCTGATTTCAAACATGTAAACTTGGCGCATCATTGTATAAACACCTGCAACATCTACCTCTTTCCAACTTTTTAACAACGACTCATTAGTTTGCATAATATCAATCTTGATGTCTACATTCTTACTGTGAACTTAATCTCAGTGTGAGGACTTTATTTGTTTGACCTATTGCTCCTTTTGTTTATCTGAGTTCCTCACAGGGTTATAGAAAAACATTCAAACAGCAAGTTTAGTAGCTACGAATGTGACCACAAGATGGCAGTGCTTCTCTGCTGATGCGGAACACATGGAGGGTTCGTTTTAGTGGATACTGAATAAATAGGTTTATGGCAGAAGCAGAGCCTTTTTCTATTGGCTGAGTAGACAATGTGAGAAACCGCTATGATTTTTAGAGGAAAGCAAGGAAAACCCGATGATAGAAGTAGCTTTTATGGCTGGAGATTGTAGGTTTATGACTGATCCTATTCGGGAAGAACAATGATGGCATGCATTCGAGCTTCATTTATGTACTTGTGGCTGCAGCTGGACTGTGAGTTTAGAGTTTTGGGTAACACAGTATATTAGGTGATGTTTTTGAGATGTCCAGGGGAAGAGTTGCTTTATTTAGGTTTCCTCTAGTTACTGTAGAAAAAGAAAATTCTGGAGAATAATAGCTTGATAAACCTTCTTCTTTTTCTTTTTCTTTCTGCACAGGGGTGAGCAGAGGAGAGAGTGTGGGGCTGCATCTTCCTACCGTGAGTGTTCAGGAGGGAGACAACTCTGTTATCAACTGTACTTATTCAGACAGTGCCTCAGACTACTTCCTTTGGTACAAGCAAGAATCTGGAAAAGGTCCTCAATCCATTATAGACATCCGTTCAAATATGGCTAAGAGGCAAGGCCAAAGACTCACCGTTTTATTGAATAAGACAATGAAACATCTCTCTCTGCAAATTGCAGCTACTGAACCTGGAGACTCAGCTGTCTACTTCTGTGCAGAGAATACACATTGCTTCCCAGGCACCTGTAACCATCACCCAAACCTGAGATGGGAGGTGAAGCAGCATCTCCTTTCCTTTAGAATAAATTTTAATTATAACACTTATCATTTTGTTTGTTCATAAGTGGAAACTAACATATAGATATTAAAACCATATAATAAGAAGGTTAGATTCAAGGAGACCCAGAAAGGTTTAGAGCATTTTGTTGGACAGTTGATGCTTAATGGATTCCGTTTTTCAAAAAAAAAGTATGGTACACATTTAAGTTAGCAACATGAAGTTTTGATATACATGTACATGGTAAAGAGTCAGCTAAAGAAATGCATAGGGCAAGGTATGGGAAAAATGGCACTGAGCTTCCATGCCTTCTCTGGCTATGCCACCCACCATGTGTTCAGCAATCAGGAAGCCCTGCTCAAGGGATCCTTACAGAGATTTAGTGATGTTTGATTTTGTAATCTAGTCTTTAAATGTGACTTTACATTTGCTATTCAGACTCCTCTCCTATATATAACCCCTTAGTATCAATATTGTAATCCCTATTATGGATAAATTATAACTTAGTTTTCAAAATTGCTTTTGTTATCCTTTTCTTATTGTAAAACATTGCATGCCAACACCAGATAATGTGTAAAATACAAAAACACAAAATTGATAATTCTGTATCCAGATAGTTTTTTGCTAATATTAGATTGGTGCAAAAGTAATTGCTGTTTTTGCCATGATTTTTAATGGCAAAAACAGCAATTACTTTTGCACCAGCCTAATATGTAGCTTTGTTTCTTCATAGAGTCCTATTATAATTAGGATCATGATTTTTTCACCTTTTCTTATGTCTCAAATTGAGCTTTTCTCACTTCGTCAAGTCCTCTCCTCAAACACATGCTTTTTAATAGCTCCGTGAGAAATTTTCATAAGTCACAATTATTTTCATTTTCTCACTCTCTGTATCTGTGGTAAAATTTGACAGCCCTTTCTACCTGCTGTTTCTTGTAGGGAAAATGTGATGCGTTTTCCTTTAGAGTCAAGTTTGGATATATACCCTGTGTGTGTGAGGGAAATTAAAACAGGAAGTGACTTTAAAATGTGAACTTCAGATTAGACTCATCAGTATATTCTTCTTCAAAATCTTATTGGTATCTCTTCTCATTTACCCTCTCACAGAATTAAGACGAGTTATATTTTTTAATCACTTCTATTTCTGCAGAACCTAGTGTAAGCTTTTTCACATTGTTCATAATCAGTAGATGTTTGTTAAAGAGAGAAAAAAATGGATTAAACTTATATATTCAAAATTTTAATTTAGGCTTTGTGGTTGAATTAAATGTATAATTTTATTTGTGAATAATTAAATTCATAAAATATATATTTAGTTTACTTGAATATTTGAGAGCTTAATATTTCTTTCCATCTATCTATGTCATTCTTTTCCATAAAACTTCGTTGTTTTAAGATAATTAAATTTTTTCTAGACATTTAATTTTTATTGCTACCTTTTTCTTTCTGAGGTATGTGGGAATGTTTTTAATAAATGTTTTTCAGCTTCTTTATTCAATTCTTATTAGTAAATTGCAGGAGGCATTTGCATAGTTAATTTGTAGTAGCTTGTTCCAAATACCCCACCTCATTTTCATGTTTTGACTGCTTTAAACAATACTAGCACAGTTTCCTTTTCAAAAGTCATGTCTTTTAGTGTTGTCGATAAAAATAATGGAAATAAAGAAGTTGCACAAATAATTAATTCCCTAATTCTCCCACCTGTGGTCAAGAGTAGGCTAATTTCAAGATCCCTCATATTATTTCTAAGGATGGATATAACTGGTGATTGGTAGGGTAAGAATGATCCCTTCTGGCTGAGTTATGGCTGTTAGTTACTATGTTGGTCTTATAGGAAAAGTCATTAGATTAAATTAGGGTTAAAAACAACTGAACAAGCAAGGTCAGTATTGTAGCCCAACAACTCAACTGGCTTTTGTTATTTCCCTGTCTATACCACTAGCTCCTCTCCAGAGAAGCAAGCTGACTCTTGATCAGTCCATTTCCTCCAAGACTGAAATGGAGTGAGTGGGAATCATGGCTTATAGTCTATTTATTTATTGCTTGTTTAGAAGAAAGAGTGTAATTACTATTGGCTTAATTGTTGTATCTTAGTTGTCAATTTTTCCAATGTAAGAAAAAAAATTCTCTAGCTGGAGTATGCAAAGTCAGTACACAGCTTAGATTCAGACACATTTAAGCATTAAACTTTAAATGGAAAAGAGTACTGATGAGGAGAGACGCTAGTAGGTAATAAAATTTACTATAAAATTACATTCTGAGGTTGGCATAGAATGAAACAGATCAATGGAGCAAAATAAAACACATTGAACAAATACAGTAAGTTTGGTGTATTTTTTTGTTGTCTCTGTACAAACTTGCTATCTTAAAACAATAGATTCATATTTTTTTCAATCAGTTTTACTGGGCTGAAATCAAGGCGTCAGTAGGGCCCCCTCCAGAGGCTGCAGAGACGAATCTGTTCCTTGCCTCTTCTAGCTCTGCCAGCATTTCTTGGCTTGTGGTGCTGTCACTCCAATCCCTGTTGCTATGGTCACGTTGGCGTCTCTTCTTTTGTTGTCAAGAACACATTTCCAGAAGCTCAAAGGCAATATTTCTTCGAAAATTTTTTGAATACTTAGGTAAAGTAAAAGCTGACTAGATGAAAGGCCAGGAAAGAACCTGTACCTGTTGGTTAAAGGACTGAATATAATGGGTTTATTTGTCTATTAATAGTTAAGTGTGTAAGAATGGAATATGTGTGGTTCAGAACATTCTGAGTAATATGGGCTTACTAGTGACCAGTTCATAGTGAGATGACACATGACTTTGGGAGGGGGAAGAATGCAAGGCCGTTAGAGCTAGGGGTAATAATGCTTTAGTTCATGGGAGTTCACAGATGTCTGATAGGGTAATTAATTTTATTCTTAATAGTCCTACATTGTTTCAACATTTTCAGAGGACCAGGAGGTGATAAGAAAAGAGAAGTTCCTGAGTGAGAGCAAAACTTTACATAACTGTCCTAGAAAAATATGTTCCTCTACATATAGATAATTTGAATTGGCACAGATAAGAAATGGAAATCAATTGATTTAGCACTTGTGAGTGCTGTATCTTTATGACAGGTGAGTGCTTCAACTCATGTAGAAAATAAAACAACTCTCACTAGTGCACACTCACAACCCCTTAGGGAGTGGAACTGTCTAAAACATGCTCAACTATTCCCTTAGGACAGTATTCCAGTTCATATTCAATTTTTACAGTTTTCATGGAATTTTGGAGGTTCCAAAAAAGAATGAACTGTCTACATTCCCTACTATTCTAGAAAAGCCTCCCCACAAATGTTTAATATTGCAGTCAACATGTCCCTACCGTGATGAGTGGTCCCTGGGGGGTATTAACAAGTGTTCATTGGCAATCATTTGGTTCCACCAAACAGCCTTTCTGGCCTTGATATATCTTATCATCACTGATCAAACAAATCAATAATTCATCTAAGATGGAGTTATTGACATTTTCCATGGATGTGCCGTTAAGTTCCATAAGAGGTGCTTGAATAAGGACTTTAGTCAGAAAGCCATGTCTAGCATGATCTCCTGCTCATGTATTTTTTTTTCTAGCTTCTAAAGTGCCTTTCATACATGGGACTTTGTCTTCATTACGAAATTTATTTGAATAGCATGAAGGCATCAAATAATTTATGTATTTGGTGTCCATTTTTATAAAGATACATGAAATATACGAGAAGGTTAAGAAGAACTAAAGAAGGTTAAGAAACCTCATCAGCTCCATTATATTTGGAAGTTGTGAACTATGTTAAAACATTGACTATTATTGTTTATATTTGTCATAATTTGACATGCAAAAACGAGAGTCACAAGTTCAGCTACTTTTACTTCTTCTGAGAGACTGAATTTTATAATAGAGTCTTGAGTAGTTATTACATAATAAGTTTCGTGTTATTCCTTTTCAACTTTGAGTATAAGACATTAAAACAATAAATTCAGAAGTTGATATGAGACGTCCAAAATATCTGTTTGGATATGGACACTTCTTAAGTAACAAAAGCACAGTTAAAAGATTTATTGATTGAGAAGTGTAATGGAGTTGAACACTATGAAGATAAATTTGTAATATTTCATAATTAGTCCACCAACTGGAAGAAAAAATAATGGATGCTTTTACAAAATAGATAACTCGTACTGTGTGTGGTATCATAAGATTTAATGGCGATTCCTGTGAAAGATCTGAAGATACTTCAACCAATTTTGACAAGGCTAAGATAAGCTATTTTAAGACAAGAACAATAAGCTATGGCTACTATATTAAGAAATAAATTATGGTAGGCAAGGCAATGACCTTTGTTGTTTGCAATGTTGTTGAGTAGTATCACTAGGGCATGGCCTTTAATATTCACACAGAGAGAAAAGTTTGTCACAATCAGTGGTCCTGTAATCAGTTGTCCTGTATGTGGGATCGCCCAGAATACAGTATCTTCAGAGTTGGGCATACAAAATGGAGTGGCTTGCTGGGGCGTATTTGGGGTCTGAATTGAAATCATGGAAAAAATATAAATTCAAAGGCTTGATAACCTAATAACCAAACTCTGATATCTGATATGATCTGTATGAACAGAGTTGGCTGTTGAAACTGAATAGAAAAGAGAACGGGACTTTTGAAATACAACTTGATATCTGAGGGGTTAATTCTAAACTCTTCATCAAAGAGAGATTCGTTTTTTCTGCTGTTTGGCCCCAAGATTGGCAACTGGATAGGCATTGAATTTGAGAAGGAATATTGTTATATCAATAGATAAGGCAAAAGATCTGCAGAGATTTGTCCAAATCTTCTTATCACAATGTGATGTATTTGTACTTTAGGAGAAACAACAACATATATAGATGTGAGGCTAGAGGATTATTGTATCTTACATTGGCTCTATAATTCATTACAAGTATAAAATATGTGTCAATCTCCTAGTTCCATCACAGGTGCAATGACAAAATACAGCAGTTGGTCGAATGATCATTTTTCCTCTCAATGTGACCATGTTTATTTTCAGATTTGTTAACAAATTAAGAGTTGGTTGATCCAAAAGAAAATTTGCATTGGGTGAGGTTCTCATAGAGAAGTGTAAGATAACACACACTAGTTTGCTATACCAGGAAACCTCTGTTTCCTGTTCTAGGGCAGCAGTAGCAGCAGCACATGGCCCAGTAATTCTTCTCTCACCATGCCAGGTTCATCTCATAGTGCAGAGTCCCGAAAATAAAGAAGAAGATATTTTTTGTCTAGAAAAAGAACCAAATATGTTACTTTCTAGCCTGCTGAAGGTGGTCACAGCTTCACTGTGGCTAGGTAGGGATGGCCCAGTGGGAATGGACTTTCTGTATGAACTAAGGATTTTGGAAGTATCTTTATGGAAACTTTGGGAAGGAGGGGTAATGGGGTACAAAAATTGAATTTCTTTGTCCCAACCCACTTTATCCTTAAACCTTCAAATTCTCTTTTTTTTCCTTCAGGATCTGGCATTGCCCAGAAGATAACTCAAACCCAACCAGCAATGTTCGTGCAGGAAAAGGAGGCTGTGACTCTGGACTGCACGTATGACACCAGTGATCAAAGTTATGGTCTATTCTGGTACAAGCAGCCCAGC